TGCAAAATAACTACAGTCAACTTCGCTAATAACGACTGCGGATATAACGACAATTCGCTAATAACGACTGCGGATATAATGACAATTCGCGAATAGCGACAGCATTTCCATGCCCAGAGCAAAGTCCATTCCAACTGTACTACATATAATGAGACTTCGGGTATAACGACACTTCGCGAATAAGGACACTTTTTTGATGCCTTGCCGAGTGTCTTTATAAGCGAAGTTGACTGTAATTAATTCATACCCCATACCCCATACCGGGTACATGTACGCGTATTTCAGGTAACAACAACCTAGTACGTACATGTATACGCCTGTAGTCTGCTGGCCCCTGTATCACTAAGTGGTCGTTGATAAGGAACGTTTGGAGCTGCGGTGCTGGAAGCTAAAGTTATGCAGGAAGAAACACACACACACACACAAACACACACACACGTATATACACACACACACACACACACACACACACACACACACGTATACATACACACACACACAAGCACACACATAAACACATGTCGACACACACTCAAACAGGCATGGTAAGTTGTAGCCTCCATAGCGGCCTGGCTTGCAGAATACCACCCACAGCTTAGCATACCCGTACTGAGAACTGTTGGGCTAACTTCTAGATATCAAACAGACATGCTAGTAAGGCCCTAACGTGACTACTCATCACACATCCATTCTCCTGAATACTGCCAGTGCAGTACGAAAAAAGCACACATTCAAAGTTCAAACTGTGCAACAGAAGCAGAAGAGGAAAACGAAAATGAACACTTGTCGTGAAGTGAAGTGCTTCTGTCCAAGGGTGCTTGCACCCGACGGGGTGACAGCGCCCCTAGTCAGACAATACAAGGCAAACGAAATAGAAATTAGCTGAGTCACAGCGCGGGACTCCGAAACGAAAACCGGTGAGTATGTAAATATTAATTGTTTCGTACCTGCTGTACAACGTAACAATTCGTAACGTAATTTCAAACTAGCACCCGTAGAATTGTAGTGCGAATGTGCCACTCGATTATAGTAACAACGACAAAGAGATACTCTTCTAAACAGGGTGGTCTCCTTATCCAGGGTCATTTGACTAGAAATCGTATCCCTTGGTCCTGGTTGTAGTGATCCCCTAGGACAGGTGGTCGCCTTATCCGAGTGGTCGCCTCGACAGGTTTTACTCTACTGCAGTCTATGCACAGTTGAGTCACCGTGTATACATTGGTATGATGTACAGTCCATGCACAGTTGAGTCACCGTGTATACATTGGTATGATGTACAGTCTATGCACAGTTGAGTCACCGTGTATACATTGGTATGATGTACAGTCTATGCACAGTTGAGTCACCGTGTATACATTGGTATGATGTACAGTCTATGCACAGTTGAGTCACCGTGTATACATTGGTATGATGTACAGTCTATGCACAGTTGAGTCACCGTGTATACATTGGTATGATGTACAGTCTATGCACAGTTGAGTCACCGTGTATACACTGGTATGATGTACAGTCTATGCACAGTTGAGTCACCGTGTATACATTGGTATGATGTGCTTGGTGAAGTTCTAGGCTGCTCGTTCCTCGGCTCTAAGTTCTTCGGCGCCCGGCAGTACTGCAACCTGCAGAACTCCTGGGTATGAAATACAAACCATTCACGCTAGCGGAATACCCATGCTCCTAAAGGACTCAATGAACGATGGCAAAGTGCCCATACCCGGAAGATGAAACAGGATCGTGCTGCTGCTCAGAGCGTTACGCTCAAGACAATCCTCGGGCAACAACAATTAAGAACATATTTACACTACTTCAATGCTTCCGCCCAGTGGGCTGAAGATGATGAATGAACGGGAATACGACAGGATCAGTTGGAAACGATTCCTGGACATAACCTTGGCAAATCCGGGTGTCTGGTAGAGCCAGTCCGTCGTCCAATGGTCTGCCAGCGCTGGTTGCTCCACGATGCTCATGGCGAGCAAGAGTACGAAAAACACTTTCATCTCGCGTGACGAGATGTCATGCCACTTGCGCATCCGGGAGCTTGGAAAGTGAGCGCCGAGGGCTTCCAGTTTTCGCTGCGCATACAGATTTGTTTGCGTGACGGCTATGTCCACGGCTTCATCCGTGAACATCATAGCGAAACAGTCTGCCGGCGAGATGTTTTCATCGGCCTGTGCCGTTGGCCCACGTTGGCGAGTTACTCCCGGCAGCCATGCACTCGCATCCGCGGTGTCGTTGTAACTGTAATACTGTACATAATAATGAGACTTCGGGTATAACGACACTTTGTGAATAACAACACTTTTCTTATGCCCCGCCGAGTGTCGTTATAAGCGAAGTTGACTGTATGTCTAAACTGTGACTAGTAAAAGATCACATGAGACTGAGCTAAGCATGCAGGGATCAACCTGACTGTGAGAGACAGCATCTTCTCAGCAGGGTTGCCGGGAACGCCGTGCGCAGCACAATGCTGCATTGGAGGAGATCAGGCCCGCTCTGACGGATGAGCAGCGCCTACTAGTGGATGTCGCGGGTGACGGCGGTGTGTCAACGTGGCTGGTTACGCCTCCATCGGCTTCATTTCCTTTAACTATATTCAACAAGTCTGATTTTCGAGACGCCTTGTGTCTGAGGTATGGCCTGCCGCTTGATGGCATATCATTATCCTGTGTTTGTGGCCAAGACATGTCAGTTCATCACGCCCTCACGTGCCCAAGCGGGGGATACCCTACCCAGAGACATAATGAACTTCGCGACCTCCTAGCGGACGCACTCGCTAGTGTTGTTTGCGATGTCGAGATTGAGCCACCGCTGATGCCGCTGGGTGGTGAAGCCGTCTCTGGGGGCTCAGCTGA